CTTATATTTAAACTTTTTTCAGTACCATGCACATGCTAAATTAAAAGTGCTTTTTTTCAGCACTCTGAGCTCTAAGTTTGTGTTGGCAACCCATGTTGCTTGGTTAACAGGAAGTTTTCATAACCATACTGAAGTAGCTAATGAAATTACAATATTGTTGTGGCACAATTGCATTTATTTTAAAAATACATGGTACTAAATGACAGAAAAGATGTAATAGCCTAAACAAGGTGTCTGCATAAAAGAAGATGGTCATGTTTTACTGTGAAGGTAGTTCTCTAGCCTCTAAGAAATAAGAGTGTGCTGGACTATTGTGGACAACTTCTACAATTTTAAGATCTCATCTTTGCAGCCTGATTCAAAACACCTGTCAGAATTTGCCATCTATATGCCCATGTAAATTTACTGTTGGGAGATTTGGCTTTCTTGAAGGGAATGGGAGGATTTACCTGCTTTTTAAAACTTGCATATTATTCAATATTGTGAATACAATTTTCTGTAAGTCATATTACCTAGAAGATGCTTCTTACTTGGTAGACAACAACAGTTTCTAGCTAATACAGTTAGACCAGAATCTCCCCTAGGGCGGGGGGTGGTGTATACTTAGGACACACTGAGGTTCAGTGTGGTGCATGTTTTTTTTTCTCGCATCCTCTTTGCATGTGGTCAGTGACCTTGCAAAAGATGTGCATATGTGTCATGGGTCTAGGGCTTTCTATGCCAGTGTTGTCAGAGATCTGTAGAAAATAAATTTCCCAGCCATAGAGAATACTAACCAGATATGCAAAGTAGGTGCCTCACATGGATCCCAAGAGATTCTTCCTTTCAGTAGCACTGAAGGTTTTCATGCTGTGTTTCATTAGTTGTTTCTACTGTGGCTATGCCTTCCACTCTACAGTACTTTGAGGATTTCATACTAGCTGGAATCAGCATTAACCACCCTGGCTTTTTCCTCTTCCAGTCACTGCTCATATAACCCCCCCTAACAATTTACCAATGATGCAGATTTTCAGAGGTACCATCAATACAGGAGAATCAGAAGATCATATAGGATGACATTGAGGAATAATGGAAATGGGGTGAAAACTAGTAGTACAAAGCACAAAGTCATGCACTTTAGGACTAAATAGAATATGATAACGTCTGATGTATACTGGTTTCTTATCAACTGGTAAGGACAACTGATGAGGAGGGGAGAGACCTGGATGCAACTGATAACAGGATTAGTATGAGCTGCCAGTGTAATACAGCTGACGAAGGATTTCCAATAGAGATAGGGAAGTATTACTATCAGTGTATAAGGCAGTGGTTAAGATGTAACCTGGAATATGGTGTCGAAGAAAAAATAATTCCATGTGGAATAGGTACTGGAAAGACTAAGGAAAGATTATTGCTCTCTCTAAATTCATCAGAGGGGTAAATATCAAGAAGGAAAAGAGCTATGTAAGTTAAAGCCCAATGAATGTCAGAATTAATTTAGGGTGAAAACCAGAAGACAGTTTTTAACTGTTAGACCTGAAGTAAAGACCTGGAACAGACTTTTCCTATCATTAGTAGGAGCAAACAACTTGCTTTAAGGTGGGGCTTGATTGTTTTACAGAAGAGATTATGTGATGTGCTTGCCTACAATAGCAGGGGACTGGGATGAAAGGCCCAGGAAGTCCCTTTCACTCATGCTCCAGTTACATGAAGGGTTTCTGTGGATTGAGAGGGAGTGGAGTTTCCTTGATAATAGCCACTTGCTCCTACATGCACATGCCCTGTGTGTGTGTGTTTGCATAAGCACATGTACTGAAGGGATAATTTTTTACTTTTGTTTATCACTACTTTGTTACCAGGAAGGCCAAAAAAGTTACTACCTGAATCTGCCTTTTTAGATGGATGCTTTCAAATGCTTATGTAGGTGATTTTTTTTTTTTTTCTTTCCAAAATGTCCCAGTTTTTAAACAGTAGCATTGACTACAGGCTCTTAAGTAACTTCCAGGAATACATTCAGTAATTGTTACTAGTACCTATCACCTGTGGTTTCTTCACCAGTCCTCTATTAGCAAATTTACATGAAATGTGTCTTATGTGGTTTTATTTGTGAAGAAAGATTCTTTACGCTTGGAAATAATGGTTTTGTGTTAGATTTAACAGAAATAGAACTTTGTTAAGAATTCATATTCTATATCCAAATGAGTACTAGAAGTTCATAAAAATTCTGGGCAAAACCCAGTAAAAGAAAAAAAAATGTCAAAATAGACTTTTTCTATACATTTCTATTACTGGAGAATGCACACAACTCTGGCATTGTCACTTCCTTTATCAGGAATGGAATTTCAGTGTTTGTCTGAATGAAATAGTGGAACATCTTCACTTTAATGTAATTGTTCACTGAGCACAGTGACTGGTTGGCACTATACAAGCCATTGGGGCTGTCGGAAACCAGAAGGAGAATGTGGACAGCATGTAATGCAGGAGAGGGCAAAAAAACTTTGAGCATGTATGGGATTGTCAGAAGATGGATTTATTTTGAGGCAAGGCATTGTATAGATGTAAAAAACTACTCCCTCTTGCTTTGGATTGTTGATACCTCATGCTTTGATTGGAGGTCACGTAGTCAGCAAAAGAGAGCAACTGGCAGATCCAGAACTTAATAATGGGGAGTGTGGGAGCAGCCACTAATGCTGTACTCCTGTTCCCAGCTTTCCTTCCAGTAGGGCCTTTTTAAAGTCCCCCAATCAGGTAAGAAACTCTTCCTCCCTCTGTCTGTCCCACTTGCCCCCACTTCATTCTGTTCTCAGCCACACATTCCCTTGCCTACTGCTGCCACTTTCCCAATCAGACCAGGGGGAGGCTTCAGAGCAAGTCCTGTCCCCTCCAGCCAGACTGCACAGGGAGCCAGAATTGGCTTAGGACAGCAGCGGGCAGGTTCCTTTCCCCCATGCCTGTTCCAGAGCTGGCAGGAAACACTGGGGAGGACCAGATGGGGAAGAGGAACCTGCTTGCTGCTGTTCCTGTCCCTGGCTGAACCTGACTGGAGCGGGGCAAAAGCAGCTGTGGAGCCCCCTAACCTGGATCAACAGGGACAATGAGCAAGGGAGATGGGGATGGGATATGCCATGGAGGGCAAGGCAGCGGTAGGAATACTTGCTTCCTTTGGGGACTTAAAGTTCCTGACTGCTGCTCCCTTGGCATTGACTAAAAGTCAGGAGTGGGGGTCTATGCCTTTACACTCCTTGATCTGCCCCTGGAGAGCACTATAAAGGGAGAGATGGGTTCTGTGCCTGGCTCTCTCCCACTTGCATTGTGACCTGGAGCAAACCACAACCTAGGTGTGTGTGTATAGAGATCCTATGTTGTTGCCAGGGGGGCTGCCAGACTGCAGCTAACCAACCCTTGCTGGTACCCACTGCAGAAGAACAAAGACAGGTATGCACCTGCTTCCTGAAGGGGTGCGGCCTGTCAGCAGCTGCTGTGGCCTGACAGTGTGCAAGCTGGGCCGGGCTAAAAGCCGACCTCTGCTTGGGGCTGTACCGAATCCAGACCTTCTAGGCAGCCATGCTCCACGTCGCCCATTATGGACCTGGGAATGATTCAAATTAACCGGTTGCTCCACAATGACCCTGGCTAATCTAATATCATTGCTACTTAAGCCTGGCACCTCTTAGTCAAGGGTAATCCCTTGATTCCAAGATGATCTCTACCCTGGCTCATGGATGTGGTTTGAGGTGACTTCAGCAGATGCAGCTCAAGTTGGTTCCTTATTCCTAGTTTCTGGTTCCTTTTTCAAAACTAATCTTTATACCATTAAAGGTTGTTAGTAATGAACTACACATGCTAAAGAGTTAGAATTTCATCAAAAATGTGTATTTACTCATAAAAATGTAAAACAATATTAAGTACGTAGCTTGTTATTCAGCACTGAGTTTGGGCTGGGATAATGGGGCAAAATCCTTTTTGGTTCATCCCAAACCACCCATTTCCATTGCCCCTAGGCACCCATGTTTATTTTTGCTGGGGGCCCGACATGATGGACATGTGGAAAGCTTTGCGCATTTCAGGGATGGCCCTCTTCCCAAGGGGGTCCAGGGCCCTCAGGCCCCCACGTACTGGGCACCTCTGCCACTGCTGGAGGACTCTGAATTCTGGGCAGGTCAGTGCCTGACCCAAAGCTTGCTTTTCACATGCCAGCTGACAGCCCCCTAGAGCAGTGGTTTTCAACCTTGTTTGTACCAGGACCTATTTGTAAACATTGATGGCTGCCCCAGCCCCGCAGTGTGTTGGGCAGGGGGTGGGTGTGTGGGGCATGGGGGACCCCAAGCTGCCCCTTGCAGCCTGGAACTCTGCCAGCCTGCAAGGGGAAAGCCAGTGTTTCCCACGTTTTTCTCCTTTAAAGCAGGGCTGGACATGGGCATAGAGGAACTGGGCAGCTGCCTGGGGACTGGTAATTTTTAAATTATCATCATCATTACCTCTAGCAAAGGGAGGCCCTGATACTAAAAGTTTGCTGGGGGCTGCCAGGAGTCTAGATACAGTGTTGCTTTAAAAAAATCCATTTTTAAAGTTTGTGGATCCATTTTTAAAATTATGTTCAGCACCCTTTCACATATTCTCGTGACCCACTTTTGGGTTCATAGATTCATAGATTGTAGAGTCGGAAGGGACCACAATGGATCATCGTGTCCGACCCCCTGCCCCTGGCAGGAAGGAGGACCGAGGTCAGATGACCCCAGCCAGGCGACTATCTAGCTTCCTCTTGAAGACCTCCAAGCTAGGTGAAAGTACCACCTCTCTTGGAAGCCCATTCCAGATCCTGGCCACCCTTACGGTGAAAAATTTCTTCCTAATATCTAACCTAAATCCACTCTCAGCTAGTTTACACCTGTTATTCCTGGTCACTCCCTGGGGCGCCCTAGTAAACCGTGCATCCCCTACTCCCCGTTGACCTCGCATAATAAATTTATAGGCGGCTGTGAACTACGGATTGAGAAGTGCTGCCCTAGTGCTGTGTGCAGTGCACAGTGCCCCAAATGAGGTGAGTTCGGGCTGGGATTGTGGGGCAAAATCCTTTCTGGGTCACCCCAAACCATGCAGCTCCCGTGTGCAGAGATTCCAGCTCCTGGCATGTCTCCTTCATTGCTCGCTACCTTGAGTTGTGGAAAGATTGGCTTTGAATAAGTGGCTGGGAGAAGGGAATTAGGAACGTGGAATTAGGAACTGAGGGCCAGGAACATGGAACTGGGAATAAAACCCCAAGCTGGCCCCACGTGAAGCGGGCTGTGCCAAGCACAGAGGGGCCGTGTCCCGCGGGCAGCGCGAGCCCTGGCCGGGTCTCCCCGGCGCCGAGGCGGAGC